ACCCCATTCATTTTAAAGATAGGAAAACAGAGGCCCAAAGAAGTTAGGTGACTTGCTCAAGGCATTAAACATCAGAAGAGAGATTTGAACTCAGGTCTTTTGACTCCAGATTCAGCCCTCTTTCCAATACACCACAATGTTGCCTCTGTTTGTAACATGCTGGGAACTCGCTTCAGGATAGTGCCTGGGACACTACTGTTATTCAGCCATTTCAGTCGTGTCCCACTCTTTGTGGCCCCATTTAGGGTTTTTCTTAGCAAAGGCACTGGAGTGGTTTGCCATTTTCTTCTCCAGCTTATTTTAAGATGAGGAAACTGAGGAAAACAGAGTTAAGTGATTTGCCCAGGGACACACAGCTAGTAAGTATCTGAGTAAGTATTCAAACTTAGGAAGATGAGTCTTCCTGACTCAGGTCAAAAAATCTGAAGGACTCTTGTCTATATACATGTTATATATTTCTGACTCCAGGCCCAGAACTCTATGCACTGTGCCACCTAGCTACCCATATTTGGCACACAGTAGGAACTTAATAAATGTTTGTCTCCATCTTCTCCCCAGAAAGCCTTTATGGTTACACTTCATTTTAACCAATAATGCTATTACCTAGCTTTGCCAGCTTAGTTAAGCATACTTGACTGCACGACTTTTACTCACTGGGGGAATTAGGGAAGTTTATTGTTGAAGATGTGCCAAAAAATCTACCCCATACTCTGAAAGCTGGGAAATAAATGAACAACCACCTTCAGTAGTTAAGAAGCAGATGTTTAAATTCTGGTATGTTTGTTAAAAATCAATCACAATACTTTATTGTGACCCTATATAGAAAATATATCACATAAATTATTTCATCTGGAAGGGAACACCCAATGCGAGAATTCCCTTCACAGTGGAGGTCACACTCTATCACATCCATTTATCAATTAATCGACAAGCGTTTATTAAGCATCTTCAATGTGCCAGGCACTGTGTTAGTCACTGAGGATACAAAGACAAAAAATGAAATAATTTCTACTTGTGAGAAGCTAAGAATCATTAAATTTCAGAGTTGGAAAGGACATCAGTCACCATACCTAAAACCCATACCAGAAAAACATCCTCTTTTGCAAGGTACCAAATAAATAGTCTTTTAGCCTTTGGGGAAGACTTCCCATGAAATGGAGTCCATTTCTTTTCTAGGCATTTCCTAAGACTTATGGAAAATTGCCTAAGGCACAGAGAGGTTACCCGAATTTCTCATGGTCACATAGCTCATAAGTGTTAGAGGTGGAATTTGAACCTAGGTCTTCCTGATGCCAGGCCAAGCACTCTACCCAGTAGCCTTGCTGCCTCTACACACACACACACACACACACACACACACACACACACACAGAGAAACAAACATCCTCATTTCCTTCCTAACCATCTCCTTGTCATGCTGACCACACTCTGGTCATTATCCCATGTCTCACTCTGCCGCTTTACATTGCAATCTTGGATTTTGCCTCTGAATCTCCCCTGGTCTGATAAGAGAGCTTTTGACTTATCTCTCAGGGAACCAGGACCCATCCTCCATGCCACTTGCTGGCCATTTGTAAATCATGCTGTTGAGTTTATGTTGTCATAACTCCCTCCCTCCTCCAAGGTCGTTTTTTTTTTAATCTTCTGAAAAAGATACATAATATTTAATTTTTCATTAAGTTAACAACAAAACAAAACAAAATAAAACAAAGAGATCTATGTGTCCTTAATGGGCATATAAGCCTTCAATGAATTCTTTAGTTTCCTTAGAACCCTTTCCTATTCATTAAGCCAGCCTTAGATTTGTAAAGGAAAAGCTAATAGAAACATGACCATGGCCCTAGCATAATGGGCTCTGCTTTCTGACGTAAAAACAATTTAACATTCATTTTATAAAATGTTGAGTTCCAAATTCTCTGCCTCCTTCCCTTCTCTCACCCCCTCATTGAGAAGCAAGCAATTTGATATAGGTTATACATATGCAGTCATGCAAAACATATTTTCATTGTTATTCACATTGTGAAATAAAACACAGAAAAAAATAGCAACAAGAAAAATAAAGTTTAAAAAAAGTATGCTTCAATCTGTATTCAGACTCTTATCATTTCTTAACCTGGAGATGGACAGCATCCTTCATCATATGGCCTTTGGAATTGTCCTGGATTATTGTATTGCTGAGAATAGCTAAGTCATTCACAGTTGATCATCATATAATTTTGCTGTTACTATGTACAATGGTCTGTTGGTTCTGCTCATTTCATTTTGCATCAGTTCATGTAAGTCTTTATAGGTTTTTCTGAGAGCATCCTATTTGTCATTTCTTATAAATAAAAAATTATGATTATTTATCATAATATAATACTATAGTATTATTAGCATAGTACAGGGGTACTATTAGTATAGTACAGGAAATGCAATTGAATTTAATGCAGTTTAGCCAAGAAGAGGATGTAATTGTCTGCAAATCAGGACTTCTGATTTCTAATCCTGCTTCCCCTATTCTCAGAAATGAATTTGTGAAAAACAGTGAATTTGATCAAAACAAAAAGTGAATTTGATCAATTTTGCCTTCTGTAAATTGGGGATTACTGTCCCAGCCCATCTCCTTGTTTACTGGGGAGCTGGGAGGTGCTGCCAGTACAAAGAGATGATCATAGAAACATTGAATGCTGGAACTAGAAGGGACCCTAAGGTTTCCATCTCCTTGTTTTACAAAACAGAAAGCTGAATCCTACAGAGGGTAGTGACTTACCCAAGATCATACAGCTTGATGGGGACAAAGCTTTTGCCAGAACCTGGTTCTTCAGCATCCCCAGTTCATAATGTTCTTTTCCATCTACTTTGTCATGAGCTACTCTTTCAGTAGAGAAAAAGCAGCCCAGTGTCCCACAAAGATAGGACAGACACGTCTCATACACAGATGACCCTGCATTTTGTCTTCTTCTCCCAGAAGGACAATTCCAGTTTATAGAAGAAGGCCCCGGAGATCAGATATTTGCCAAGTGTCGTAGAGCCTTGGCCAGGACTTGGCCTAGCTCTTCTGCCTCCTGGTTAGGGTTACCCAGTGGGAGGTAATTGGCTATCCTGGTGTATGTGTGATTGTGTAATAAGAAAAATGACAGTTCACATTTATATCACCAGAGGCAGCATGGTAAAGTGAAGGGAGAATCGGTTTCAGAGCCAGGAAAATCTGGGTTCAAGACCTACCTGTGACACAGACCTTGGAAAGTCACTTAACCCCGTAATGTCCTAGGTCTAAGACCAAAAGTTGTAGAGCAGGTGCTGACCTGCATTGGTAGAGGGATTTTCCTCATTTGAGAATTCCCAATACCCGGGAAATCACCGGTCCTGTCCCTGTGCCTTGTTTATGTAGCCCATGGAGGATTGTAAAACCACTTAACATACATTATCTCATCTGATCTTCACAACAGCCCTGTGAACTAGATGCTTTTATTCCTATTTTACAGAGGAGAAAAATGAGGCTCAGTGTGGTTAAGTGACTTGCCTAGGGTCATCCAATTATCATGTATCTGAGGCTGACTTTGAACCCAGATTTTTCTGACTCCAAATACAAACCTCCACTCACTAGCTGACAGTATGTTTTTAAAGTTCTGATTTTTGTATCCCTAGTCTTGGCCCAGCTCCCTCCCCACACTGAGCAGAATAGAAGGCAGCCTGTTTGCCAATAGTCTCTCTCATCACTCCCTTGCCTTTTCCATCCCCTCAGAGATGTTTCCAATTTTACCCTTCTTTTCTTAGGAAGAACTGCATTCATTCAAGCAATTAAATCCCCACACCTCTCATTTGCATCCCCCTGGCCCTGGAAACCAACTTGTAACAACCTCTCCAGAGCAGGGTAATCACTACCCTGAATGATACTGACAGTACCGATTAGTGCACATCGAACCTGGGAATTAATTGCCTGCCACAGGTTGCCTATGTCCAGGCAACCCTCTCATGGCAGAGATGAGAAGATAAGGGTGGGAGGGAGCTCAGCATCTCTTTAAGGAAGTGCTGGAGGGCCTTGGCTCTGATTTCAGTCCTGAGCCAGGATACGTAAGCTTGCTTTGGCCTTCCCTCTTCTCCACTCCATCTTCTCTCCAGGCTTTCTTCTTCTGCCCAGAGAGAGAGAGGAGGGAAGATGTCTGCATTTGGGGAACTGTCTTCTTGCCTCTCCAAACAAGCCTGCAGCCCCTATCCAAGGGAACTGATGCCAGCTAGTGGTACGTCCATCTCAGAGAGGCAGTCTCCTTAAGTATATATGTCTTCTGCCATTCATGTCACCCTCATTTCCTGGACAGGGGCAGGTCTTCCCTTGCCTGAGATCTGGTGAGAACAGGCTCCCAGATTGCAGTGAAATGCAGGCCTCCAAGCTTGGCACATGTTATTGGACCTCTCAATTCCTTCCAAGGGAAGTGGCTCAAAACTCATGGGGCTCTTTTTGGGTGAATGGATGTTAAGTGGAGGAGGAAATAGAATTTATAGATGGAGAGATAATACCAAAAACAAAACTCTTCCAGTCTCAAGAATACCCTCAATGGACGTATTCCTAATACCAGAACCCAAAAGAAAGTTAGGGGGTTGGAGGGGGCTGTGATCTTGAGAAATAAGGTCCCCTTGATGGATAGAGCAGGTAAGGAGTGGCTGCCTGGGACTGTGAAGGAGAGAAAATGGTGAGGCTCATCGGGGAGTGGGACTGTAGCAGAGCCATTGAAAGACGGGGCTTGCCCCCTATGGGATCAGGGGATTTCGAGCTGGAAGGGATCTTAGAGGTCCTCTGGTCCAACTCCTCATTTTACAGATGATGCACCTGAATCCCAAAGAGGGGAAATCTCTTGATCAATATCATACAGCCAGATGGTAGCACTTGAACCCACGTCCTCCATCTCTAAATTCTTTGTTATTCTGAATTTACCCCTTAGACATCAAGATGCCTTTAGCCAAGAACAAGGTGGCCAATGGATTGGCTGGAAGAAGGAGGGCATGGGGAGGGGGCTTACCTGTACTCCAGGGAGAATTTAGTTAGTTCTCGGTTGTTGTGCAGCCACTTGAACTCCAGGGGCCAGCTGCCCTCCGCCATGCATGTAAGCACTAGGCGGTTCCCTTCCAAATGCACTTGAGTCCGGACGGGCTCCGTCTTGAAATATGGGGAGACATCATCTGCAAAGCACAGAGAGACACGCATTGGCTTAAAGGGTCTCCTTTCTACCAGAAAAAAAGCACAATTCCCTCATTCTAACCAAGTCTATTAAGTCCTTTTTTCATCCCTGCTCCTCCTCAGAAAGCCACACTCCCTTTCCCCACACATTTCAATAGGACAGTAAGGATCACAGGTTCAGAGACCATCTAGTACAACTCACACACTTCACAGATGAGGGGACAGAGGCCCAGAATTATCAAATGACTTGTCCAAGGGTCACAGGATTCTAGGGTCAAGGATCTAGAGGTGAGAGAGGGACCTTGCAGATCACAGAGTCTAAACCCATCATTTAGTTTTTAAAAAAAAATTTATTTTTACTCTGAACTTAATAAACATCCAAATAAATGGCCATTTCCCTCTACATAGTAGAAACTATATTATTATATATAGCTTGCTTTTCTTTTGACATATATGGTAAATTCAATCTGCAGTTTTCGAAGTTATCCTGCTTGTCTGTGCTTCTTTTTGACTCTCCTTCAGTTCTCTTCTCTGCATTAAAAAAAAAAGATGCTTCAATGACATGACTCTCTTTTTTTTTTCTTTCCCTTAGCTGTTGTTCAGTTGTTTCACTCATGTCCGACTCTTCATGACTCCTTTTGAGGTTTTCTTGGCAAAGATACTGGAATGGTTTGCCATTTCCTTCTCCAGATCATTTTACAGATGAGAAAACTGAGGCAAACAGAGTTAAGTGACTTTGCCCAGGGTCATCCAACTAGTAAGTATCTTAGGCTAGGTTTGAATTCATGGCCTTCCTGTCTCCAGGTCTGGTGCTGTATATACTGTGCCACTTAGCTGCCTTTCTTTTCCCTATCCCTATTGTCCCTAGACCTCTCACCACCCCCCCAACCCCACTGAAAAAAGAAATAAAACAAAGCCCTTATGACAGATTTGCTTAGTCAAGTAAAACACATTCCTTCATTTTAATCCACTCATTTTACAGAAGAGGTAACTGAGGCCAAGGAAGGTTAAGTACTGATGCCTGGAAATCGTAGACCTAGAACTGGAAGGAATATCTGAGACTACCTAGTCCCACCCACTCATTTTACAGATGAGGAAACTGAGGCCCACAAAGGTTAAGTGACTTGCCCAAGGTCACACAGGTGGAAAGAACCAGGATTCAAACCCAGGTTGTCTGACTCCAATTCCAATATTTTTGTTCACTGCACCATGTTTTCCTTTCAGCTCAATGGATCCAATCCAGTGGGAATTCAATTTTTCAAAACATAGGCAATTGGGGCAGCTAGGTGGCACAATGGATAGAGCACTGGCCCTGAAGTCAAGAGGACCTGAGTTCAAATCTGGCCTCAGACCAAACACTTGGCACTTACTAGCTGTGTGACCCTGGGCAAGTCACTTAACCCCAATTGCCTAAAAAACAACAACAACAACAACAAAAAAGTGGAAAAAAAACCATAGGCAATTAAGGATACTTAATAAAGTGGGGGCATAGGAACTCAGACTTTGAGACAACTAACTTACTGTTCTCAACTCAAGACAGCTCATTACATTTTAGGGGTTTTAGACCCCCTGGGCTGTCTTTTCTTGGGATCAAAGAACTTTGATCCATTGAATTATATGAAAACAACCCACTTAATAGGCCCCTTCCCAGGAATGATGACACCTTTGGTCTTCTCCACCCTGATCCCTTTTTGGGAGGCCTCAGACTGCCCATCTCAGGCTCTACCCTTCCCTGTTCCTCTACCTTGCCCCGTCATTTGGGGGAAGGCCTGAGACCACCCACCAAGTGGTGGTCAGACCATCTGACCAAGGTTGTATCAGGGAGATGACTGTGCTCTCCATTGTTCCTGCGGACCTGAGCTCTTACTGTAGCTAAAAGCAAAGTCACTGCAACCCCTCTGACATGATTGAGTTAGCCCCTGCCGAGCATATGCTCCTCACCACTGGAGATAATGCAATTCTGGCCCCGAATCTGTCTCCCTCTCTGCTGACATCCTTCAAGGGATGGCAGACAGTGTGACTCGTTAGGATAACAACATTAGTTTGCAAATGAAGCCATGGGGCCCCAAGCTCTCTAGTTTTCCTTCTCTCTCTTTTTTTCTTGGCCAGTGAGAGGGAGGGGAAGTTGTCAAGTCATAACAAAAGAGTGGGGAAGAGGGAATGTGAGGCAAAGAGAGGAAGGGGAGAAGTGGACCTTCACTTCACTGCCTGTCCCCAATAGTGGGGATGGGGAGAGAACTTCTCTCCATTTCCCATGTGGCAGTGGGAGTGAGTAGGGGGTTGTGGAAAAGTTATATTGAAAGGATCCAATGGGGGAGGAGTCAGGGAGCTGGAGGATCTGCCCTTCAATTTTTTTTTTTGGCTCAGTACAGGTAAGTCAAGGAAACATTACTAAGCAAAAGTCAAGTCAACAAACATTTATTAAGCATCTACCATCTACTAGGTGCCAAAGATACAAAAAATGAAATAAGATAGTCCTGGCCCTCAAGCAACTTATAATCTATTAGAAGAATAGACAAAGTTGGAAAGAGGCTAAGAATGTATTAGAAAGGCTCTAGTCAGGGGCAACTAGGTGGTACAGTGGATAGAACACCAGCCCTGAAGTCAAGAGGACCTGAGTTCAAATCTGACCTCAGACCCAAGCTGTATGACCCTGAGCAAGTCACTTAACCCTGATCACTCCGAAAAGCAAAAAAAAAAAAAAAGAAAAGAAAAAGAAAAAAAAAAGGATCTACTCAAATTGCTATCCAAATTCTGAATCCTGTATCCACGACAAGCAGGTTATACAACCTCTGCTTGAATACCTTCAGTTACAGGGAACTCACTATCCCCACCTGGAGGTAACCCATTGCATTTAGGGGTAACAATGACTATTAGGAAGATGTTCCCTTAAATGCCTTCCTGCAAAGTCTATCCACTAGTTCTAGTTCTGTGCTCTTGGGAGAACCAAGGTCTTGCAATAGAAAGTATTGATATTAAAGGAGATTCCACATCTGACCATGAAAGGGCCATCCTCAATTGGTCAGTGAGCTCTCTTGAATTCTGGAACGCTCTAGTGAACAGAGCAAAAGGAGTTGCCTTCTTGGAATGGAGAAAAGAGCTGAGAAGAGTGAGAAGGAAGGGCATTTGAGTGAGTCTCAAGGTTGGGAAGGAATAGATGTGGAATCCACGCCAGACTGCTCTGCCAGCTGTGGCTGGCCAGCTGTTCAAAGGAGGAGACAAGAACAGGGCAGCCACTTTGGGAGAGGTTGATGGGGGTTTCTGTGGGCTCCAGGGAATTCTTCCCTGGCTCTCCTCCACCTTCTCAGTTAACTGCCTATTCCAGGGGTGGGGAACCTGTGGCCTCGAGGCCACATACGGTCCTTGGGTACGGCTTTTTGACTGAGTCCAAACTTTACAAAACAAATCTTTTTATTAAGGGGATTTGTTCTGTGAAGTCTGGATTCAGTCGAAGGGCCGCACTTGAGGACCTAGAGGGCCACATATGGCCTTGAGGCCGCAGGTTCCCCACCCCTGGGCCCTATTCCATGACCCCAGAAGCTCTCCAGTTTGTTCTATCAGGAACTGCCCTGAAGGTGGGGCCTCTCAGCTTCTCTCCTGGTTGGTTCTAGGGTCTGAGAGGCGAGGGTAGCGTGGAGAGGGAGGAGGAGGCGATGGGCATCCATTTACTAAAGAAAATGATATATTGAGGCACTTTCAGCTGAACAAATGGGAGCTTTTCCTACTTCAAAGGCACATTCATATTCCCCGGCAGCTTTCAAGAACCCTTTGAATCCGTTTTTAAAAACCCTCCTTTCATTCCTGTCATCACTTGTTTGTTTTAAAACAATAATATTCTCAGCCCCCAAAGTGATTAAATCCTCTTGATATGGGGAATGACTCCATGCCAGCAACAGTCAGAGGTAGGCATGCATACACAGAAACACATAGACAGGTTCCCCTCCCCCTTTCCTAATGCATACACGTGCACAGTCGCGTGCACACACCCACTAGAAACCCACAAACACTATTAGCCTTTGCAAACTTGCCTGCTGGGCAATTTGCTCCCAGGTAAACACTGATATTTTATTTATCTGGCATGCGGGGAGTAGGCAGAAAGCTGAAATTGTCCATATCTGTATCTCAGACTCACTGTGTCCAAGCAAACAAAGAGGATGAAGCAGTGTGTTCTCAGGAAACCCAAGGTGATACTAACAAGTGTCTACACTTCCCTATCAGTGCCCTCCTCCCACCCCTCAATGAAATTGGTTTATGCCAGAACCTACAAAAACAATCTCTCTTTTGGGGGCCAGGGAGAGAAGGTGTAGCTTAGGGCTGAGTATAACCATTTGTTTTTTCAGGATGAGCTGGTTCAACTCAGAAATACATGGGATACAGATGTTAAAAAGGTAGGAGCATTTACCAAGCACCCTACTATATGCAGGAATTGTGCTAAGCCCTCTACAAATCTCATTTGAGCTTCATAATAACCTTGGGAGGTAGGTGGTATTATGATCCCTATTTTACAGAAGAGGAAACTGAGGCAGACAGAGGTTAAATGATTTGCCCAGAGTCACAGTCAGTATGTGTTTGAGGTCACATTTGAACTCAGATTCTTCTGACTCTAGAAATAGGGCTCTATCCACGGTACCAACTAGTACCTCTACACTACTTAGCTTGGGGTGGGGTGGGAGTTGTTGTTCAGTCCTGTCCAACTCTTTGTGACCCCATGGACCATACAGTCCATGAAGTTTTCTAGGCAAAGATACTGGAGTGGTTTGCCATTTCCTTCTCCAGTGGATTAAGCCAGTTAAGTGACTTGCCCAAGGTCACACAGCTTCTAAGTGTCTGAGGCCAGATTTGAGCTCAGGTCTTCCTGATTCCAGACCCGGTGCTCTATCCACTGAGCCATCTAGCTGTCATCCAGGGTGGGAGTATAGGACAACAATGTTGGGTAGAGGGAGAGCCATTGGTTGGAGTAATGAAGCAGGAGGAAATTTCTAGTTCCTACCAAACTGCAAGG